TGGGAAAAAAGGGCTCCTGTTAATCATTAATTAATTAGAGATTAATTAACAGACACTCTTTTCTTAGTCAATTTCATGCACGGTACTAAGCTAAACATCAATGCAGCATCTTATTTATCCTTACAATGCTCTGCAGGAGGTACTGTTGTGAACAGTGCAAGTTAAGGTTTACCAGTGAAGTTAGTGTCACAGGGCACACTGCTAGTCAACAGGAGTTTTCATACCTAAAAAACACATATTTAACTAGCACATAGTGTCTAATTAAAGGCCCGATGGCTGAGAACCTACATCTGAGGAAGTCTATTATCTTTAAAATGAAAATTTGGTCTCATTCTATTCTCTACCATCATCTCTTTTCTCTCTGAACTATATATGTCAACATGAGTACTTTTACTTTGTTGCTTCAATCCATCACTTGTGCTAGTAGGCACAGTAATAGACAATTTGATGGTTTGTTTCAGATTCTAACATCTCACATACAAACTTTAAGTACTTATGCTCAAGAATGCAGACTATTTGAGATCTAATAATAACTTTAGCTCAGAATCTGTTTAACACTCTGAGTGTTGTAGTATCTATATTTTGTTCTTTAGTTTGTTGTGATTAAGATCCACTTACAAATTGTGAGTGAATCCCAGGGGAGCAACAACAGATTGAAGAAGAAGAGCCTCTAAAATGCATTTTTTAGTGAGTCACAACAGTCCGTAAAACAAACGTTTAAATACCACACCCTTCAAGTCCCCAAATATTAGACTACCAATCCCATGGACAGCAATAGCCAATTAAAGAACGCTCTTTCTAACGATTATGTCATCTTGCTATGGGAGTTATTAATTTTTATTACTTTTCACAAAAACAAGATAGTGAAATTTTTTATATTGTTCAGCTCTAAGTGCAAGTGAAGCATTTATCACAAGAGGAAAAGACAGTGACTCAGAATCTTACAACTACATTTACCCTCTTTTAATGATCTCTCCCTTGTCACAGTCTAAATCTAAATAATATTAACATTAAATTATTATGTGTATGAATTAATTAAAGTAAATGTATAAGAAGACTTCAGATATTTCATAGAAAAAAGGTACTACAGTACAAGTTTATTTTGGTGTTAAAAATGTTGAAATCATGCATAGTTTTTTTTTTATAGCATGCATTTTCCATAAACTTTCTAAAGATTATATATTATATCTATAAATATTATATATTTTATAATGTGGTGAGACCCTCTGGCAGTATGCAGCAAGCCCTTAGCATTCGTGGAAGATGATTCCAGGACCCCAGCATATTCCAAATCCACAGATGCTGAAGTTCCTTATATAAAATGGTACAGAATTTGCATGTAACCTACATACATCCTCCATATATTTTCAACCGTCTAGATTACTTACACTTCCTAACATAATGTAAATGCAACAGTTGTTTTACTGTATTTTTTAGAAAAATGTTTATTTACTTTCATTATTGTTTATTTATTTATCTTAATTTGCTACATGGCACATGTGCTCACCAGAGAGACAGAAGGAAAATATTAAAGCAAGGTGCCAGGTCCAGGACTCAAACTGTGGTGGCTACATAGGAGTCCAGTGCCTTGACCACTATGCCACCTGCTGTTTCTAACTATTTTTTATTTGTGTTACTTTTTTATTATTATACATTTTAATTGAAATTTTTTCCAAATACTTTTGATCAGCAGTTGGTTGAACTCCTGCTACAGAACCCACAGATGTGGAAGGCTGACCACATTTTCACCTTACCCCTCTCATTTTTGTACACTTTAAATATCTATATATGTTATAGGCATCATAATATGAAGTAGAAAGGAGGAAAGTATTTTAGAGGTTTTTGCCTTAGGGTGCATGAGATTACTTGAGAGAGAGAGAGAGACAGAGACAGTGATAAATCATCCCAGGAGAGATGGCCATATCACAATCCCATCTCTTCCATTCTCCTGGGATCTTGGGCATGCATGCACACATGCCCAGAGTGAGTTTCAAGCCACCAGGTCTGGGACTCAAACCACAGTCGGCCTTGTGATAGTTCAGTGATGTAACCACTATGCTTTCTTCTGGCCCTGAAAAGTATTTTTTGAAAAATTAAAAACTGCACAAGTCAAGTGTTCTAATGTATGTTTCCAGAGTCTGAAGGCCAAGAATCAGGTGCTCTGAAGGAAATAGATGTCTCAAATCAAAGAGAAAGAATTTATCCTTCCTCTTCCTTTTTGGTGTATCTGGGCTCTAAAGGAATTAAATAGATGGTGCCTGCTCACCCTGGTAAGGGAGGATCTTCTTTACTCACTTCACTGCTTTAAATGCTTCTGCCTTTTGGGAACACCCTCATAGACACACACAAAAAAGAGTTTTTTCCAGATATATGTGTATCCCTTAAATTAATCAAATTGACACCAAAAATTAACCATCATAGGAGCAGGACCATTTTTCACACAGATGTCACCACATTTCTTTTGAACTTCTAATCTCCACAACTGTGAGACAGTATTTGCTTTACGTCACCCATTTTAAGAAAATTTGTTATAGCGGCCCTAGGAAACTAATGTACATTCCAAACATTGATGTCCAAATCTACTCTTCTTTTCATATATTATTTTTTAAGAAAATAATTATCTATTTTTAATTTATTTGTTATCACTCAAATTTGACCAGAGAAAGAGAGAGAAAGAGATAAAAGGAGAGGAAGAAAGCAAGCTGCCAGGTCCAGGACTTGAACCATGGTCAGGAATGTCGGAATCCAGTGTCTGAACCACTACACCGCCTACCAGCCTTCCATATATCTTTTTGACTCCAAAAGTGAGTACAATTTTCTGTCTCGTTTCTATAGTGTGTTTTCTCCACTATGACATTTGTCAAAATCTATATTCTATTTTCATTGTATTGGTGAAGTTTCTATAGAGAAGTAGAGCCAACAGGATAAATATACATACAAAAGAAGGAATTTATTATTGGAATGTTCTCACATGTTCATAAGGTGAAGTCCCACAATAGGCTATCTGCAAGTTGGAGAAACAGCTCAAAGACTCAAAAGCAAGGGAACCAGATGCAGTTCCCAGGGTTTAAGAGGGTCCTCAGGAAGCTGTAGGTCTGAGCACCCCATGAGTTCAGAGTCCAAGGGTTAGAGAACTTAGAGAGTGGCTGGCTGGAGGGGTGCAGGACAAAGAACCAGCAGAACAAATGAAGCCAAAGGTTGAGCTACAGAGCAGGGATGAAGTAGGTGGTCTGCAGCAGTGAAACACACCGCATTCTCTGGAAGGAAGGACAGAGAGAGAGAGAGAAGAAAACAGAATCCCAACTTCTCTGTCCCTCCCAGCTGACTGAATGATGTCTACCTATATCAAAAACAAGTCTTCTCTCAACCCACGGACTCACATGCTAATATTGAGGGGAAATACTCTCATGGACATAATTAGAAATAATGGATCGCCAGCCTTCCAGGCATCCTTCAATCCAGTCAAGTCAATACCTACAATTAACTATCAATTAAGTATGTGTGTTAATTCAATTTCTGACATATTTGATTTTAAGATTTTGACAAGATCAATTCTTCTTTGTATAATCCTGAAAGTATGTTGTGCACGTTTTATGTTTATTTTGTTATCAAACATATTTCACTTAAGTAAACAAAACGTATTAAATTTTATTGCTAGTAAATGATCACTACAAAATTCTAGATTTAGAGGGACCAGCAGTTAGTGTAATGGCTAAGTCGCTGGACTCCCATGTAGTCAACCACGATTCAAGTCCCGGATCTGGCAGCTTAAACTCACACCGGGCGCGTGTGCATGCGTGCCCAAGATCCCAAGAGGAGAATGGAGGAGAAGGGATTGCGGCGTGGCCATCCCCCCTGGGGGGTGATTTCCTGCTTTCTGTCTCTCTGTCTCTCTCTGTCTGTCTGGCAAGCGCACGCGCCCTATAGCAAAAACCTCTCAAAAAAAAAAAATCTAGATTTAGAGGCCAGCAGTTGGCATTGTGGTTAAAGTGCTGGATTCCCACGTCATTGCAGTTTGAGTCATGGACTCAGTGGCTTGAAAATCATGCTGGTGTGCATGTACATGTGTCCAAAATCTCAAGAAGAGAAAAGAGGGGAAGGAGAAAAGAGGGGAAGGAATTATGGCATGACCATCCCCATCTGCGAGTGGTTTCTCACTTTCTCTCTCTCTGTCTTTCTCTGGCAAGCACATGTTCCCTATGGCAAAAATCTTAAGAAAGAAACAAACAAAAAAACAACTAAATTTTGAGCTATGAATTTTAGTAAGATAGAAAATATTGATATAAGGAGGGTACACACATACCATTAATTTAGTTTTTGACAGGTAGCAACCTGGAACTTGTGGAAAACCTTGAACCAACCCAGGGCTAATAGCTGCCTGGGCTTTTTGTCTGCCTGTGAGCTAGCTGCTCCTCCCCTGAACTGTTGAGTGGCCAGAGACCTTGAGCAGCTTGGATTCCCAGCTTCTCTGCCAGCTTTGTATTAGGGAAGACACTCCAAGCATGCTGAAAACGCCCCTCCTCAGTTCACCCATAAAAGACTGTCCAAATCTCAGCGGAGCTGAAGATTAAGAGTGTTAACTCCTCTGTTCCCACCAACGTGATAAACAGTTCTCCTATCTCTCCAGGTGCTCTTTTCCGTTCCTTGGCATCTGGCTTTCTGCAACATTTTGGTGTATTGGCCAGGAAGCAATATCAGGCTGGTCCTTTGAGCCACTGATCCCAGGGCAACCCCCTCTGGGACAGGCACTACACTGTGGAGAGATAGGTGCTACCATTAATTTAGTTTGTGACAGGTAGAGGCAGCAATGTCTACCTGCACAGAATTTATATCTACCTAGATGTTTAAAGATTTACTTGTTCAAAAGTAATAATACTAAAACTATTTGTAAAATGTTTTACACATACCAGTCTTTTTCTTTCCACTATATCCTCTTTTCTCACATAGTTCCTATGAAATGGTTATTAACAACTTCATTTTACATCTGAGAATACTAAAGATCAAAGCAGTGAAAAGATCTGGTTTTTCAACTGCATAATCAATGCCTTTCTGCTTTCACTGGTAGGTGAGGGAGAAAAAAAGAATACTACTAACAATATCATAAATGCATTTCTGTTTATTGTGTATCCAAAATGCTTTTAGCACTGTATAAAAATATAAAACAGGTAGATGAATTTAAAAGATCATTGCTAAGTATGACATCATAAAAGTAAAGTTCACCAAACATCTGTAGTTTAAAAAAAAAACACTAAGTAGCATGAATCAACAAGGCAGAATATCCTTGTCTAAAATTCTGCTTGCACTAGGACTTAACATGCACAGTTAATATCTATGCACAAATCCACTTACGAGGTCTTGTAATGCTAAATGCTGAATCCGCAGTGAAGACAATTACAAGTTTTCTATTTTTCAAAGTAGTATTTTTTAGTTGTTAAAGTCTTTCTATTCCAAAGGTTCCTTTTTATAATGCAAATCTCAGGACAGAGTGCATAAGAAAATATTTGGCTAAATATAAAACACTAATTAGATGTCTTTTACTTTTATTATTAGATGGATAAAGGAACTTTTTAAAGTTCAAGGAAAAAGAATGAAGTCACAAGTTTATTTGGGTACAAATGTTTCGAAATTCATCCATAGTTTTTTCCACAGTGCAGGTGTTTTGAAGACTCCTTGTACATGAATTTTACTTTCCTTCTTTCATTTTCAAAGAAATATAAATAAATAATTTCAGGTTTGTTCTCAGTTGCAAATAATTTATGTCACTCTGCACATTTATATGTTTTAGACAAACATGGAATTCTTTTTAGTTTGAATATTGAATATCTGCCATATTTACAAATGATTTCAAAGATATTTACAGTTTCCTGTGCGAAATATGGGATTTATCAAAACTAACTTATCTTATTTCAAAAATAAGTAAGTGAAAGAAATAGACATACATTTGCTGATGGCACCAAATACTTAGAAAAAGATTTGTAATAAGTAGAAATGCATACCAAATAAAAAATTGACAAAAACAAAGTATCCAAGAAGGAAAATTAAAAGAAACCAAATTATAAATATTAAAAACATTCAACACACAAAGAATAAGCTAACAAACCTATGAAGTAATATCTATGTTGTAAAATATAAGTTTTCTTTATGTCAGGATATGTAATAACAATGTGAATAAATTGAGTGACAAGATCAGAAATTCAACTTGCTTGTACATTTTTATTGTAAGTTATAAAAAAAAGAAGTTCAGCATCAACAGGTGGCATACTGATTAAGACACTAAGCTCTCACATGGCTGACTGTGGTTCAAGTCCCAGACCTGAAAATCATGATGGGTACCTGTGAGTGCATGCCCCAAATCACAGAAGAATGGAGGAGAAGATATTGCAATGTGGCTATCCACCCTGGCAGGGAGTGGGTGGGATTTCTCACTTTCTCTTCACTGTCTCTTTCTGTCTCTCTCCTATGGAAAAAAAAAAACAAAACACTTTTTTAAAAAAGAATATTGTGTTGAATTAAATGTAATCACAAGTTGAGAAATGTGAATAATATTTTATGTGTATTGGAATTCCCTAAATCTTTATCATTTTAAAACATTAATAAATATTTGAAGGTAATTTGTACTTTAGAATTATAAATAATGGGAAAATGGTTAAAATTATATCTAAATAGAACAGGAGTTATTTTATGCAATTCCCTTACATTAGACAAAAAACAATTTATAATTCAATAACCCATATCACTAGAAAAAATAGTTGGTGTAATGCTGTGATCTGCTGGAGGCTCTTTATTCAGTAAGTTCAGAAGGATACTCTCTCTTGATGATCTCTAGTTTGTCCAGGAGTTCACATGACGGTTTCTCAACTTCTGCAGGGCTGACTTAACATCTTCATTCCTCAGAGAGTAGATGATGGGATTCAACAAGGGTGTACAAACAGTGTAAAAGACAGAAAGGAACTTATCCACAGGCAGTCTGCTGAAAGGCCATATGTAGAAATAAATGCAAGGCCCAAAGAAAAGAATCACCACTGTGATGTGGGCAGTTAATGTAGAAAGAGCCTTGGATGACCCACTGGAGGACCGGCGTTGCACAGTGATCAAAATGATGGTGTAGGAAATAATTAAAGCCAAAAAACAACTCAGTGATATCAGGCCACTGTTAGTTAGAGTCATAATTTCCATTTCATATGTATCCATGCAAGCCAATTCTATCACCAGGGGAAGGTCGCAAAAAAAACTGTCCACCTCATTGGGGCCACAGAAAGGCAAATCTACTGTAAAAGCCAGGTGGCTCACAGAATGAAGAATACCCACAGCCCAGGAAATACACACAAAAATTATACATAGCTTTCGAGTCATAATTGTACTATAATGCAAGGGCTTACATATGGCAATAAATCTGTCATATGCCATAGCCACAAGCAACATCATCTCACTCCCAACAAAACTATGAAGAAGGAATATCTGAGCCATGCAACCCTCGAAGGAGATAGTCTTGTGCTCAACAAAAAAGTCCATTAGCATCTTTGGAGTGGCAAAGTTAGATTGGCAGATATCAATGAAAGAAAGATTACTGAGTAGGAAATACATAGGAGAGTTCAAACGGGAGTCAGAGGAAATGATGACAATAATCATTATGTTACCTAACACTGATGTCACATAGACCATAGAGAAGATGGCAAAAAAGAAAAGCTGAAGTTTCCAAGAATTAGAGAGTCCCCGAAGTACAAACTCAGATACTATCGATTCATTTGTGTGGGCCATGTGTCCAATCTATAGTTACCTAAATAAAAGAAAATCAGGAAAAGAGCATGATGGTTAACAGTGCTATACATCTAATTTATATACAAAAGAAACATGACAAGCTTTCAACTGAGTCAATTTAATTTAATGAAATCTATATGAATAATAAGTTGATGAATATTTAATACCCATAACTGCTATGGAAAATTGAAGAAATGAGAAAAAAATAATTGGTTAGGTATCTATCCAAAGAGTAGATAAATTGCATATCCATGTTTATTGCAGTTTTTTTTACAATTGCTATAACATAGAATCAACCCAAAAGTCTAGGAACAGACAAGTAGACTGAAAAAATGTGGGACAAATTCTCTACGAAATACTACTCAGTCATTAAAAAAAATTCCTGACATTTGATCGAAAGTGGACAAATATGGAAGATTTAATGCTAAGTGAAGCAAGTCAGAATATGAGACAGGCATTGTATGTCCCCACTCAATATATACCAAATAACTGCGCTCTATAGCAGTAACTGAAATATTGGAAGGTGTAATTAAAGGGAAAGCCATGGTAGATACAAGAGTTAGTGTGTGCAGGGTAAAATGGAGAGAAAAATAGGGGTGGGAACAAAGGAATTACAGAAAATACAAATAACACATTTAAAAGACAAAAATGAAAAATTATCTGATGATAATGTATATGATAATGTCTTTGATTTGACTAATATTCATGTATTCATGCAGGAAAAACCTTGTACACTGTAAAGATGTACAGTTATTAAATGTAAGTTAAAAAATAATTAATTTAAAAAAATATTTTTTTTTGGAAAGGTTTTTGCTATAGGGTGCGTGCGCTTGCCAGACAGACAGAGAGAGACAGAGAGATAGAAAGTGAGAAATCACCCCCCAGGGGGGATGGCCACACCGCAATCCCTTCTCCTCCATTCTCCTCTTGGGATCTTGGGCACGCACCCACGCACATCCGGCGTGAGTTTAAGCCACCGGGTCCAGGACTCGAACCGCAGTTGACTACGTGGGAGTCCAGCGACATAGCCATTATGCTAACTGCTGGTCCCAAAAATAATTAAATTGTTTAAAAAATAAACTTAATTTACAATTGGAATAAAAAACAAAACCCTGGTATTTGATAAAAAGTAGACAAATATGCAAGATGTACTGCTGAATGAAGCAAGCCAGACTATGAAAGAGAGATATTGTATGTCCCCACTTAATATATACCAAATGTCTGCATTCCATGGCATAAACTGAAAACAGTGGAGATATAAAAGCATGGAGAACAATCGCAGATACTAGAAAGAGCGTAGGAGGAGGGTGAGAAATGGGGGAGGGAGGAAGGGAATCAAGGAGAAAAATAAAGACACAAAACATTTCAGGAAAAATATTTATGTTTGCGTTAACAATTTTATCATGTATATCTTCATCTTTTCCTACTTTACTTGAAGACAAGCATGAAAAATGTTAAAAACACATACAATAATTTTTAGATCTTGAAGAAAAGCAAAAGAGGAATGGATCCTCTCATAATTGCAAAAAGATATGTGCATTAAAAATATATATAAATCAGAAACAGGTGAATAAAGGTAAACAATACCACAATACTAAAAATAAAAGATGAAAGAGATATAACAAAGAGGTAAGTTTTAGCGCAAAAACACTTATTTTACAGGCTTAATAGTTTTAAATTAGAGAAAAATGAAGACAAAGGCTATTTCAAGCAAGTGGAACAGGAATAAACATACATAGGCAAAAATGTGAAAGACATTCGGGTATCTGTGAGTTGAAGGGTTTGGCTAAAGGAGAGGTCATGCTAAGAAGGAAAAAAATAAATTGAGGATAGACGATCAGCAGCAAAGTGAGGGAGCAGTTAGTGTTAAATGCAAGGCCGGAGGATTAGATTAACATTCTTAAAATTGGGAATCATAACGTGTGTGGCTGTGTTATAAGGAGCTTAATAGGAGCAATTATTGAAAGAAGAGGCAGTGGTAACAATGAATTTTCTCTAAAGGTCAAGAATAGTTTCTTTACTTCTTTTATTTTTTTTTAATATTTAAGCTTTATTCTTATGAAACAACTAAGTTCAAATACTGACTTGTAATGGTTTCCTCTATCAGAAGCTTGACCACAATGGACTCCCATTCTTTTTAGATAATATTCTATCATCAAAGTGAAAAAATGTACTTTCAGTGGCACAGTAGTAAACTTCTGGAGACTTTATCATTGAAAGACCCATTTTTAAGCATGACCTTACTAAGAATTTTAAAAAGTTAATGTTCATATTTTCAAATTAACAGTTATATGGGCAAGTTTGCTTTTTGGTTTTGGAGTAGAGGTAGAGACTTAAACCAAAATTCATTCTTTCCAGGGCAGACTACTGCATTACACTAGTTAGTTTTCAAATTCCATATTTGCTTCTTTTTCAGCAATGCCTCCCTTTTTGTTAACAAAAGTGGCCTCTTGTATGTTTCTATCAAGTCCATTTATAACACAGTCAACACAGAAGAATATGATCATTGTCCCCCAGTTCAGGTGGACAGCATCATGTGGAGCTAAGAGTGGCACTATCCCGTGACATGAGACTGTAGTTTCTTTACTTCTTTTAAGTAACAGGTAATCAAAGTGTAACTCTGTCACACCAAGACCTGGCCTTTGTGAATGAACCAATAACCACCAATGTATTTTCAGTCTCTTCTGAGCCTGCCTTTCATCTCTCCCTGTAAATGTGCCAATTTGCAAATTTATCAAAATCTGTAACACCTTTAAGAAACAGTACTTTCAGAAATATTTCATAAAGCTACATATGATACATTTTGAATACATAATACAGTCTCAAAAGAGAAAACTAGGGCATAAATTATGTCTAAAAATTTTTTTTTTTTGACATTTTGCTTAACACTTGTGGTCAACTGGTCCCAGAAGAAATCCCTAAAGAACCTTTGTAAAGTTGAGAAAACAGGTTCCATGTTAGCTCTATCTACCCATAGTACATAATAAATATTTATTAGTTGTTGTGGTGATTTAACTTCTGCATCTCATATTTTTCAGGGCCAGATTATTTAGATATAACTAAAATAGTAAATATTTAATATTTTAAAAGTGAATGTGGTATAGTTGGCCATAAATTAATCAATTTAAAAGATATTTACATTAGGTACAAGCTTTCTTTATCTAATTTTATCTTAGATGTTGGAGAAGTAAATCCTACTCTTTCAACAGTTTCGATCTTAAATTCACCCTTTCCTCATGGGATATTTATCTTCATGTGAAAGATTTGGGCCAATGCTAGAATACCTAATTATATGATTACAAGAGCAGGGAGAACGGAGACAAGAGCAGGGAGAACGGAGACAAACACTGAAAATATATTTCCATTTTTATGACTAAAGAGCTACAGTTAATAATTTAAAAGTACAAAATTTGGCACAAAGGACTGCCAAAAGCATCCAACTCATGTATTATGGTAATTTAATAAGATAACATTACAATTTCATAGGCTAAATGAAAACCATGTAGGCTATTAAGCAAGGCAGTATTCTTGATACAGAACATGAAGATGTTGTTAGATACTATTACTACTGATATATTATTTTATGTTTTATTTTAAAAATAATAAACCACTTATGATTGCAGGGAAAAAAATACTTGAGAATAGAAGTTTTACTTTGTGATAGGATTTTCCATTTAAATAAATCATGTAACATTTTGTACATACTTCTATCACAGAAAGCATTTGAAAATGTCCATTATGTAATAATAGTATTATTAATGACATTTATAGCACTTTCTATGTGGCAGAAACTCTCCTAAACATATTTAGTGTATTTACTCATTTAATCTTCACAATACCTCTATAAGGCAGCTGCCATTCATATATACATTTTATAGTTGAGGGAAGCAAAGGTCAGAGAAGATTAAATTAAGTACAGTTCCCAAGTTTACATAACCAGTAAGTTGTGTAATTATACTAGTGACTCTCAAAGTAGACTGGAAGGTGGTTTTGAACAAACAATTAAAGGCAAATATCATATGACTGACTAAGCAGTGAAGATCTAATGTGAGAACAGGGTAGAAAACAATAAGAATTTATATGGACAGTGGGGAGTAGGGAAATAGAGGGAGGAAGGGGTGGGAATAAAAATAAGCCTGATGTTTAATGACATGCTAAAATGAGTGATATTGCATATTTTTCAAAAATCATTTTTCTTTGAAAAATATCTTCTGAAAATGTCTAAATTTCTACAAATTCTATCTTTTTAATATCTACTAAATGATGAGATTTGTCAGTCTATTTTTTCAAGATACAATAAACAGTGAAAAAGCCCTCACCACATTAATGTCCTATGATTTGTTAATACAAGCAGAACAGATCAGGTTAAATATTTTATTTATTTTCTTCTTAATAATTAAGGTACATACTCAGTTAAGGTAAGTTAAGGTGAATAAAATTCATCAGTTACTGGCTATGTGAATTGAGCTTAGAAGACAGACCTGGATTATCCCTAAAGCTACCTTTATCTCTAAAATTACAAATGTAGAAGCAGTTATGGAAACACATGAAGCTTATAAAAAAAAAAAAAAAAAAAAAAAAACCTAATTTCTTATAATAACAAAAAAACCCCCAATGCCTTATGGAAAAGAAAAAAAAAAAAAAAGAAACTTAAAAAAAAAAAAAAAAAAAAAAAAAAACTCAGTTCCTTATACTAAGCACAGAACACCCAGAAGCTTCTCAGTTAATGAGTATTTCCTTTTTTACTGCCATCATGCTTCAAAAATAAATATTTTCAGATCCCAAAATATACTTTAAAAATTTCCCCATTCTTTGATGTAAGATCAAATTTTCACAGAGTATTTGATGTTATATTAATATCCATCTTTCATATGTGCTGATAGAACTCACAATTTACTTGTTGATAGAACGCAATTTTACTATTTATTTTTAAAAATTACATAGTTTTATTTTTTTTTTAATTTGATCAGAAAGGGATAGAGCTATAGAAAAAGAGAGAGTACATGAGAGAGAGAGAGAGAGAAAGAGGAGAGAGAGAGGAGAGAGAGGAAAAGGAAGAAAGCAAGCTGCCAGATCTAGGACTTGAACCACGGTCGGCAATGTGTGAGTCCAGCACCCTTAACCACCATACCTCCTGCCAGGCCCCACACATTTTTTCTTATTCTTATTTTAATGTCTAGTATTTGATTCTCTATGAGCATAAAAACAAACAAATAAAAACAGTTTTCCATATTTATCATTACTCTACTTTGTGTAGCTAGTCCTTTAATCATTCCAGGAAAATTTTTTGTCAGCAAATATTTAGCTAGTTACTTAATATTCTCTGAATATAAAGCATAAAGGGGGCAGAGAAGGACAGAGAGTGGTTGTGACGTACTTTCTTCTGTATAATCTGATTCTGATCTTTCTCCTATCAGAGTTTTCTAAAAACAGTGCAAAGGAAGTTAGAGAAATGGAACAGAAATTTACCTCTTCAGAAGGAGTGTCCAGTTTGGCTGAGATAGTAACTCTCATTTACTATATCCTGGTTGCTGATTTTGCATCAGTAGGAGAGTAGACCAGTTATTTCCCTAGTCTGATGGTATGTTCACAATGCATGAATGATACTTAACACTTTTAGTGCTCTTAATCTTTTACTTCTTTACTTCTTCAAATTCATTGTGTCCCAATTTGTTTCTAAGCTTTCCACTCTCTACTATGAGTCTTCATACTGAGAATATTTCTAATATAATCTTGACTTGATGCGTGTTAATTTGGTTCCTTGCACTAAGCTATGCAGAAGCAATCCTTTCAGGTACTACCCAGAGGTCCTGAGGGCCCTGGACCTCTTGCCTTCAACTATTCATTACAATATCCTAAGGTTTATACAATAAGGCCTTTTATCCTTAATCCAGGAAATGAATTTCATTAGAGAAAGAAGAAATCACCCTGTAGAGATCTGAGGTCATCCCGCAATGGGAGTAATTATGTTTTACAAAATAATCTTTCTGAGAATGACAAAAAAAAGAAAAAGTTTTATTTTGTCATCGTTTTTACCAACTACTAGGTACACATGAAAGCAAAAGATGACTTGATTCTTAACTGACTCTCAATCAGCAAAGAAATTTTTCATTCCCTAATTTACTTTCAGTAAAATAATCATGCAAACTTACAGTTACACCTAGTCTTAGGATGGTTTCCTCTAATCAAAAGGAGTCTATCACCCCACAGGACAGTTTAATCCATTATTAGAAAGCTCAAATGGTTCTGCTATCTGTAAAGAACAGATCAAATCTCAACTTGATGATTTATTATTCAGAGGTACTTTTCATTCTCTGTGACAAATCTTCCATTTCTCTTCCAAAATAAATCAATTGCCTTTTTCAATTATATTTATACCATAAGCTGTTTATTTCCAAAGATTCTGATGTAAGTTTTTGTTTGTTTGTTTTGTTGTTAAATTAATTTTACTGATCATCACATTCCTAACACATAATAAGAAACAGAAAGTTGCTGTTACATAAACATTTAACCCAAATCATTGATGCAATAATAGGCTGAATCCAAAGACAGTGAAATTCATAATGTAATGCATGCAACTGTAAAGACCCTAATTATATTTTTCTTTCATAATATTGTGAACAAAATAAATTACACAAAACAAAATAAAACTTATTTTTATTGCTGCAGAAGAGAGAAGCCAGCAGGGCGAAGATCGAGGTTCCCTCTGTAAGTATGGATGCTGCACCAGGTTATCTTGTCCGTACACCTGCCTTTGGGAAGACTTCTATTTAGGTTTTTTGTTTTTTTAAGTTTTTGCCATAGAGCACATGTGCTTGCTAGAGAGAGACAGAGAGAGGGAAAGTGAGAAATTATCCCCCATGGGGGATGGTCACCACACAATCCCTTCTACTCCATTCTCTTCCTGAGATTTTGGGCATGCACGCACTGCACCTGGTATGATTTTCTTTTTTTGGCGGGGGTTGCTTGTTCATGAATGAAGTTTTTTTAAGTTTTTGCCATAGAGCACATGTGCTTGCTAGAGAGAGACAGAGAGAGGGAAAGTGAGAAATTATCCCCCATGGGGGATGGTCACCACACAATCCCTTCTACTCCATTCTCTTCCTGAGATTTTGGGCATGCACGCACTGCACCTGGTATGATTTTCTTTTTTTGGCGGGGGTTGCTTGTTCATGAATGAACAATTTTTTTTTTTTTGAGAGTTTTTTTTTTTTTTGCTTTAGGGCGCGTGCTCTCGCCAGACAGACAGAGAGAAAGAAACAGAAAGCAAGAAATCACCCCCCAGGGGGAATGGCCACGCCTCAATCCCATCTCCATTCTCCTCTCAGGATCTTGGGCACGCACGCACATGAGTCTGGCATGAGTTTTAAGCCACCGGGTTCAGGACGTGAACCGTGGTTGACTACATGGGAGTCCAGTGACATAACCATTATGCCAACTGCTAGTCCCCGTATAATTTATTTTTTAAATGTTTATTTAACTCCATTTGTTATTATTATTATTTTCCGACATAACCATTATGCCAACTGCTAGTCCCCGTATAATTTATTTTTTAAATGTTTATTTAACTCCATTTGTTATTATTATTATTTTCCCTTTTTCATTTATTTATTTATTTTTACATTTTTCCACAAACATTTACTTTTCATATCAAAAAATTTTTGCTCATACTCCATAGTTCTGGACAGTTAATAAACAACTTTCAAAATTTCAAGATACTGAATTTTAAAGATAATGTTCAAAATATTTCTTGTAATTTTGTGTAATTTTGTTTGTGATTCTATAACAACAGAGACAGTATGGTTTTAAATACATTTGAGAAAATATTTACATGTCAACTACTCAAACTGTTGAAAAGCAAATGCCCAGCATACAAATCACACATAAACCTTCTCAATTCAGTCCTGCCTACCAAGTATTCTGTGAATACCATCTGCTAGCAAAGATCAGTCTCTTTTTCTTCCTTTGAAGTCTTTCTCAAGATAATCCTCTGGTGTGGTTGCTCTTTTTCAATCTCTACTGATTACAATTCTGGGCTAGAAATGTCCATGTTATTTTATGTTATAAATTCTTTCATATATCTTCTTTAATCCTCTCTGCCAAGACGAAGTATTTATGGTGCCTGGCCAACTTTCTAAGAGCTTCTGTTGGCTTACTTGAGATTCACCTTAGTTCCATAGTTTTCTGATTAATCTTCACATATGACATTCCAGTCAAACTCCTGTCCAATTATGAGTATTTCCAGTTTCTGATTTAATGCAATAAGCATTATTGAACTTATACAAATAACACTTTTGCCACAAAATATGAATACTTCCAAATATTTTCCTATTCCAGAGGGGTCAGGAAGGAAGAAATGTTCATGTTTCCATTTAAAGAAACAAAAAAGAAAAATATTTTAACAAATTGCTGAGACTATCAACAACTCAGAAGAAAGTAAAATGCTTAAATTGAGAAAACAAAGCATAGTAAAAAAAATCAGTAATGTTTTACTCAAATGTCATAAAATTCTATTTCACCAGTTAAGTCTTATGTTCAAACTCTTCTGTTGAATATTCAGTGTTACTGTGGTCCAATCTTTCCATTTAAATACTAGAAGTTAACGTTCAATGTTCTTATTGATATTTCTTGTCCCTAGCATTAAACTGGTCATTTTCGTGGTTGCCTTTTGTTCTCTTATTTCTATATGTGTCTTTAGTCTTCCTGTTAGAGCACTCCTTTCAGAAGTTCTTGAAGAATGGGTCTGGTATTGGCAAATTCTTTCAGGTCTTGATTATCTGAGAATGTTTTTATCCTTTCTTTCCATATGAAGGATAATCTTGCTGAGTATAGTATTCTTGGTTGAAACTGTTTTTCACTTAACACTTTTAATATATTTTCCCATTCTTTCCTTGCTCTCATTGTTTCTGATGAGAGGTCTGATGTTAGCCTGTTGGGATAACCTTTGTAAGTAACCAGAAACAGACAAGAGAAGGAAAGTGAAAAAGTACCCTCTGGGGTGATGCCATGCCACAGTCCCTTCTCTTCCATTATTTTCTCCTGATTTGGGCCATGCATTCATATTCACCTGGTATATTTTTCAAGCTGCTGATCTGGGACTTGAACCACACACTCAGCCATGTGAGATCCAGCTGCCTTAATCACCACACAACTGACTGGCCCAGAAATGGTTTTAAAAGCATTAATATTCATTTATGAGGCTAGCCCCATAGTAAAATGTTCACATACATAAGTATGCATGCACAACGATGCGAATGCAGCACTGACTGAAGGTTATGACCCACTTTTATGTAAATAAACATAGAAAAAATACATCATGACTTTTCTGACAACCCAAAATATAAATTTGAGAGTGGAGAAATATTTTGGTGTGATGAAATATATACAGTGGCTAAAATGTTTAAATACCATGTTGTATATAAATATCTGATTCAAAAATCGTTGAGGTAAAAAATTGAAGATTAGTAGGAATATATGTATCTATCTTAGACAAAAAACCTCTATCCTCACAGACTTTAGTCAGGAAGAAATACGTTAATTGAATCATGGTCTTTTATTATGTCCTTACTTAACATATATGAAGTGTCCTCAAACTGTGGTGGAAGCTGAAAGACTCCATAGCACTGAAATAAAGGTAGGTATTAGATGGTACATGGAGATAAGGGGGGAGAATGTAATCAACAGACACAAGGATGTATGTAAACTGTAGAACAGAATAAAGAATGATTCCACAGCAGAGTAAAAAATGCTATTGATGGGCCAGCCGGTGGCATGGTGTTAAGGGAGCTGGATCCCACATGGCTAAATGCACAGTTTCAGTTCTGACCTGGTGGCTTGGAAAACACATTGAGCACATGGGTGTGCATGCCCAAAACCCAGGAAGAGAATGGAATAGAAGGAATCAGTGTGGCCATCACCCTTGGAATGGTCTTTCTCTCTCTCTTCTCTCTCTCTCTCTCCCTATCTCTCTCTCTCCAGTAAGTGCATGCATTTTACAGAAAAATTTAAAAGAGAAAAAACTCATTGACATAAAATATATACTTTCTCAAAAAAAAAAAAAAACTAGTAGAAAGGCATCAAATGTGCACAACATAATGTACTGTTAAAAGTTGAAAATGATGAATTGATCTAAATCCTTCAGTATTACATGTATTAAACATATATCCATGCTTTATAAAACCACAGTGAATCTCACAAAGATACAAAATCATAAGTCAGTCAGAAATTACAATGGACGAAAATTATGGTGTGGGTTATTGTGGAGCTATAACAGGGAGCCACATCAGAGTCTTACTAAACAGGCTAAAGAGCTTTTTTCTTCCTTATCCTAAAAATAATGGGTAAGATTGAAAGACTTTTATGAGATCGGTGATCTGACCAAAATCCAAGAAATCATCTCAAAAATCACAAAATAGTAATGTAAATAGTGTTCAAATCAAGTTTTGAACAACAAGCTCAAGACAATTTTCAGTTTTTCAATAAATTTATTTTTATACCTATTAAAATGTCTAGCAGAAGGAGAAAGGATTTTATATTGTTTTATTACTGTAAAATATTTGTCTTTATAAACTTCATTGCCAAATTATATTAAATTTTTTTACTTTAAATAAAATATAAAGTGAAATTCTTCTGTATTTAATATCTTAGTTTTAGCAAAAATACAATTCCATGTGCCTTGAATACTTTTTTTTGAGAAAGAAATTAAATTAAAATGCACTTCTGTTAGCATTCAGCATGTCTCTGTTTTTATTGAAACTAGAGGAACTTCACAGAAAAAAACTTTGTTAAATTCTATGACTTCGTTTTTTTTTAAATCACCGAATATATGACATATAAATGTAATAACACAAAGTATTTCTGTTTTAATAAAGGTCTTTTTACTGTCAGGGTAAAGATAACAAGCAGTTTTATCTTTTCATATTGAAAATTTTTTAGTGAGACTCATTTAATCAAAAAGACTAAATGCTTTAAAATTTAATACAAATTTTAAGGGTTAAATGCTATGTACATTTGAATTTTCCTTCATTACAAATGATCTTCAATGTGGTTTTTTGGTTGTTTTTGTTTACTTAAAAATAAGCACTGGGAACCAGCAGTTAGCGTAATGGCTATGTCACTGGACTCCCACGTAGTCGACCGCGGTTCGCGTCCCAGACCCGTTGGCTTAAAACTCACGCCGGGCGCGTGTGCGTGCGTGCCCAAGATCCAGAGAGGAGAATGGAGGAGAAGGGATTGCAGTGTCACCATCCCCCCTGGGGGGTGATTTCTCACTTTCTGTCTCTATGTCTCTCTCTGTGTGGCAAGCGCACACGCCCTATAGCGAAAATCTCTCCAAAAAAAAAAAAGAAAGAAAAAAGAAAAATAAGCATAAATGCTTTGGGAAAAGCATTTTGCTATCCCCTGAAGTCAGGAAAATTCAGTTCTAAAGTCTTAAATATAATTCATCTATCCAGAGTATTTGGCCATACCAATAATGATGCTCTAAGATAAGGGAAATGTCTAAATTTATACTCACCAAAGAAATGAATTTTCATCCTTTTATTCCATTATATTCACATATACATCTTCCAAAGTAGTGAACTATTACCTGTATTTTATTACTAAAAACTGTAATTATATATAGGTTTTCTTTTTTTGTATTTAATTTTGCTTAAGCAATAACTGAGAAAAGACTTAATATTCTCTAAATATTTTCCACATCATCTTCATACTTTCCTTACAGTTGTGATATACAACAGGAATGTATTGCAAATATTTATAGATACAGTATTGATTTGAATAATTTAAAGGAATTTTGCCTTAATATAGGGAATTCCTCACTACTAGTGGC